GATTACAGTTAAGTGGTTGATTAGTATGATTACTTATTAATTCTAAGCAAAAGATTCATTAAGTTAGTTTTATATTAATAAACGTATAGCATCAGGATACGCACCGCATGGCACCAGGCCATTTGCAGGATATTTAAACCTCTATATCAAGTGTAGCGTTAGTTCTGGCAGGTCACGTTAGTCAAGCTGACCCTCAGCTGATCCCCATCAACCTATGGGAATCCGACACCTATCTAAGCATTCATATATAAGGTCCCTCAGTATTATCAGCAGTTTTCACATTGCTCAATAGCTAATTGCCCTTCTCCATCCCCAACTCATCACAGCACCCATATATAATGTCCTTCAGTATTATCACCAGCTTTCGCATTGCTCAATAGCTAATTAACCTCCTCCATCCCCATCTCCCTCCTCTGTCAGTCAGGATTCAGCCTTCTGATTCTCCTTTGAATCAGACTAATTCTAAAACGTGTACATAAAATTATTGAACTTTAACGATGGCTGCAATACATTTATGTTGGTTCTGTTCTGTTTACTCTGGGGGGTTATCGCTGCTCTCCCTGCTCTTATCCATGCTAGGCTGCATGGATGCGCAGGGAGTTCTTGCCCAGAACAGAACCATACCGCCAATCCAAACTGTATGCTAGTTGTCAATCATCTTTGACGATAGTGGTCCTGACAGAAATATATTTTTCTTACTGTACATTATAATCTTGCAATGCCTAAATTAATTTGTAGCATTTAACACTGTTAATTTTGATATCATATTTTTAATTTATTTTGACAAAATAATATAGTTTTTTTTTTCATCCAAAAACAAAAATAGTTAGCCAAGAAAGCCCAATGGAAAGGTTATTGTGACTTTTTAATCTCACAATTCTGACTTGTTTATCAGAATTGCGAGTTGGCTTTCTCACAATTCTGATATTATTTCTTTCAATTCTGAGTTTATATCTTTTTTTCTAAGAATTGTGAGCGTAACAACATTCGTAGATCAGAAAGAAGGAGGCGGGACCCGGCAAACATTTAAACATATCTTTAATATAAAATAAACAAACACAAACTGAAAATAGCGCGACAGCCCCTCATGGACGACTGCTACGCACAAACAAAACAACATAAAATCCAGGCCTGGTCATCTCTCCTCATTACTCCTCCTTTTATCCTTCTGGAGCTCCTCCGTGGGACTCGAGACCGGTCAGTGGCGCAGGTGTCGCTCATTATCATTAACTCCACCGGCCTCGCTCCGTTCCCACGGCTCTCTGCCCCGCCCCACTCGTCACAGTGAGAAATAAACTTGAAATTGGGAGGTACAACGCCTTAATTCGGAGGAAAAAGTCAGAATTGCGAGATGCTAACTTGCAATTGCGAGAAAGAAAGTCAAAATTGCAAGATAAAAAGTCACAATCACTTTTTAAAAATGTTTTATTCTGTGGCAGAAATTAGCTTCCATAGTTATGAGCTAATCAGACAGAAATTAAATATCGCTGCATCCTTAAACATACATGTCAAACCAAACTAATAAAAGATGAAACAAACCAAACACTGTACAAAACAACTCAATAGCAACAAAACTCCTTTAGACATGCAAAGTTTCCATTGTGGTTTCTCTCAGTAATGACCATCCTACATTTGGCTAGGAAATGATGTGTACTATTCTTACGACTCCATCACCCTTTTGAAAGGTCAGTCATTTCTCCTGATTGGCCTATCCCCCGCTTGCACGCATAGCCAGGGTTCTTCTTGTTCTTCATCACAGGAGGCTTGGCATTAAAATCCCTTGGTGCAGGCATGCCTAGCACCATCTGAGCAATCAGAGCTAACCGCTAATGATAATGAGCAGGCGACAGGGTCTCACTCCTGAGGCGAGTCTGGGCCTCAAAGAGAAGCAGGACCACGGGTGACATCTGAGCACTGCCAATTATCGGCAAGACCAAAACGCTCAGTTCAGCTCCCTCAAAATGAAAGTAGACAGGCTCTGAAACATTAATTCTCTAACAGAGTTACCAGCATTTTGGGCTTGGAAACTGTCATAACTTCATGACTGTATCAGGGTTGTTATTTTTATTAAAGGGGTGGTTGACTGTTTTTTTTTTTAGGCTTGATTGTGTTTATGGGGTGCAGTCTAACATGTGTTAATGCGTCGTTTTTAAAAAACACATTATTTTTCACATAACTTACCTTTATTCCACACCTCTCTGTCCCTTCT